AATACTTTACAACTTCTGTGGAAACCAGGCTACAAGTAATCAATTTTGGAGGGTTTCTGTTAGGAGTAGCTCTCATGAGATTTATTCAAAAACTCGGCTCTGGGCAGCCTTAGGAAGGGAGTTACGAATTGCTTATAATGGATTCTTAAGTGAATTTTATTTTGGTGAGGGCTTTTGATTGACAATAGCATAAAATCGTGTCAAGGGTGGGTGAGTATGTGTGTATGGTTTCTTTTTAAGGAAAAAGAGTAGCTATTAATGGAAGCGGCTTCTTGCGGCTGCCAAAAGAATGTAGACTCCACATCAGCCTACCTAAGCTCAGATCCCAGCTCTGCCGTTTACTGGCATGAGCGCCTGTAAAATGGGAGTAATAAAAGGCCTTCCTCCTACTGGCGTGGTGAGAACTGAATGGGTGTGGGGAATGCCCAGGCCCAGTGCCTCGCAGAGTAAGCGCACAGCTCTTATCTGCTGCTCCCCCAAAGTTATTCTCCTCAAAGGGCCACTTGAGTGATCAGAAAAGATTTCTAGGACACTTCCCCTTTTTGTGACCACCGAGGGCTCTAAGGATAGGTAGAGGTTCTGCTGTGCTTGTGTTGCTGTGAGCTTCACTACCGAAATCCAGACTTATCCCCTCAGAGCTTTACAAATAGACCCTTCTGTTGTTTTATTATTTCACTATTTCATTATTTCTCTGTCCTGCCTCTACCCTAGATTCAAGAAAAGCGTTCCTCATGTGCATTCTACCCTGTAAGCAGATACCCCAAAGCTATCATTCCTTCAAGTTAAGAATTCCCATAGTCTAATATCAAGCACGTAACTCTCCTCAGCTTGTTTTAAAAAAAAAAAAAAAAAAAAGCTCATCGCATGCATCCATCACATTGCAGAGCATACTATTTGAGGAAACAAGGCAAGATGCACTTAATAAAATTACAAGCGTACGGTAAGGTTCTCAGACAAGTTATTTATGGTCTTGATTAACCTTGCAACATTTTTGCCATTTTCATAGGTTTTACATAAGAACATGAAAATATTGTCGTTACCCTTTAACATGGCAAGATTATCTTATCTCCTGTTCTTTCATTTAGCCTTCACTTCTCTCCCTCACCCCAGAATTTCTAGCAGCTCGATCACGGGAAAGCAAAGCTTCTTGTGCTCAGTGGCAAATTTTAGGAGTTCGGGTTTTCCCAGCACTCGTGCATAGCAACAGCGCCACCGAAAGGACCAGGGCCTGAGTTTCTAGGATCTGTTTCTTCGCTCATCAGCATATCAGCGTTTTATTGTAATGATCGCTGACTGCCACGTGTTCAGTATATAATATATTAGCATTTCAGGCTCTTTATAGTTAATAGGTCTTAATTTGTTCTGATCTGCAGATTCATTAACTTCTCAGCTCTCTTCGGGTGTAATGAGTTTTCTTTTAATTCTCCTGAACTAAAAAAGGTAAGCAGTTGATTGTGCTAAGCTGCAGATAAATCAGATGAGCAGATGTTCTTATACAACTATAGAAATGATATATGAAAACAGATATGGGAGTCGGTATAACATTGAAATGTGTGAGGAGTTCTGTGTTTAGTGACTATGAAAGTCACCCTGTGAAATAAACTGCCCTCGGTCTCAGAGTGTGTTATCTGTTATATCTTATGTTTGTCCCAAATGTAGCAATGTGACAAAGCTTATTTTCTTTAATTTTATTTTTTATTATTTTGTAATGCTTATTTTATTTTTGAGAGAGAGAAAGAGAAAGACAGCACATGAACAGGGGAGGGGCAGAGAGAGAGGGAGACACAGAATCCGAAGCAGGCTCCAGGCTCTGAGCTGTCAGCACACCCTGACTCAGGGCTCGAACCCACGAGCCATGAGATCATGACCTGAACCGAAGTCAGATGCTTAACCGACTGAGTCATCCACCCAGGCGCCCCTATTTCCTTCCCATTTTAAACATAAAGTGACATAAATTGTATTTATGGTAGGGAGGTAGTCTTAGACTTCAAGTAAATATTTCAGACCACTTTTTTTTTCTGTCATAAGCTAAACTGAGTTTGTCATATTTGTTTTCAAAAACTTTCGTATTCACCACTGTGGGTGAACCTGTGAGCTGGATTAAGCACTACAACCTAATGGTCAAAAGGATTAAACTGTGCTAAACTGGGTTCACTCCACGATTTCCTGGCTGGCCTGACCGTGGGTGAACACCCAGTGCCTGAATTTCCTCCTCTTTTGGATGGGGTCATTAATCCTATCTGTTTCATAGAATTGCTACAAGGAACAGAGTATGTGCTCAGTGAATATCGGCTAGTGCTGATATTCTTATTATCATAGTTATTGGTGGGTATTGGTTGGTATTCTTTTGCTGCTGCTTATAGTATTAATAGTCTGAATATGGCTGAATTCCAAAGCCAAAAAGCAATTTTATTTTTTTAACCGATGCTTTCATAAGATATTAACCTACCTAGAAATAGTACAAATAGGTTTACTCCTCCATATGTATGAAAACATACCTATTTCCGTTTGTGGATGGGGACATGTGGCTTCAGATAGCCCATCACGTTTCCCCCAACCCCACCCCACCGTGTTCAGAGAGCTTTTAGAAACCATTAGGCACATTCTCATTCATTCTGATTTGGATCTAGGGAAACAAAAAGACCTAATGCAAGTGAAAGTGCTGCCCTTTCAAAGCATCAAAGCAAAGTTATGGGAACTGAAATATCTTGCAGGAGCTTTTTAGCTGAATCATTGCCATGGGCTCTTCCTGTCCCTGAATCTGATCACGCAGTTAGGAGACATGTACAGAGAAAGGGAATTGGGGCTACCCGGTTTTGTACGGGACCCACTCCAAACCAAGACGTATATCCTTCCCAGACAGAGTCACTAGCGTTTGGGATGTAGAAGTCAGTTTATAGCAGGTATTATGTATGTAAGAATGTTCTGCCATGATATGACATCACTAAGTTGAAGTTAGTTATTGAATAAAATATCTAGGGGTGAAAACTTGATAATTAGCTTTCAATACTAAAAATTAAGTTAGGGAATCAGGTATTCAAACCGAGTTCCATTACCCTACAATTATTTTAACTGATTTTTTTTCCTTTACCTTTCTGTCCATTTCCCATCAGCACTCTTTTCTACTTCAAAAGATTTCCACCGGTTATTTGTTGTTTTCTATCACTAAGAAACCACTCTACATGGGAATCTTTTGTTGGCTCTGTTCTTTTTCACTGCTTGTATCACTGAATCAGTTTTTCATACAGACAGGAGCAGACATGGAAAGGGTCAGTCTGTGTAGTCTTAAGTGAGAGCTGAGTCACAAACAAGATAGGATTCTGTAGCCGTTTGTGTTCTCCAGAGATGGAGTAAGTCATTTGGAATAAAGGGGTTGGAGACAGATGTAAATAGAATTAATGGTATAAAATTTTTAAAATGGAACTTTGCTGACTATCAGCACTGTGGTGCTTACAGAGTTATGGAAAGGCCTCTGGAAGTGAATCAGGAGAGGCCCATTCACTGGAGGCCGAGTACAGCTGAAATACTGGACGAATACCAATGAACGGATTATCGAGAGTATTTCTGCAACCATGTGAGATGCTCTAGAGAACCCATTAGGCCCTTTGCTTGCTAATTCCTGTCTCTGCTGTGAAATAATAAAGCCTCAATCATAAAACTAAATTTCACTTGCAAATTGCTGGAAGTCTTATTTCTCCAGTGAGATCAAATATGTCTTATGACATGTTTTTCCTTCCACTGTTCTCCCAGCTGTTGTTTCTTATTACTGAGATGGTGATGCATTGATACCAGTTCAATTACCAAAGTATCTGAGAGCATTTAAATTCATGGTGCATCACAGAGAGTCAGGCTAAGCGACTGTGATTATCAGACAAGGTGTTTGATTTAAATTAAAGGAACACTTCCAAGAGATTATTTATAGAGGGAGACAATCTACTCCAAAGAATTCCCATGACCCACATCTTTAATATTTTAGGACCCGTGAAAATAAAGAGTATGTGGAAAATAAGGAATGTGTGCTGTGTATATACAGGCACCTTTGCCATACTGTTTCCCTCAGTTGGAGTCAGCCCCGTAGGGCCACATCAAGAGTGAAAAAGGCTTAACACCAACACTGTTGGGTGAGGAAGTAATGGAAATCCTTTAAATGCAATTCAAAAATGTATACCAAATTCCAGCTTGTAATAAAATGAGAATGTTAAAAATGATTTTCGTATTAGAATTACTTGGTTGTTAACCACATAAGAAAAATACTGCAAGCTGATGTTCAAAAAGAGATATAATGGAATTTTCTCCCTTTACAGAACCTAGGGAAAAGATCAAATTCCATTGGAGGCAAGAGTTTAAAGCTTATTTAGGGATGTGGTGGTTTAGTGGTGCTTTGAAATAGTAACTTAAACGTTTCTTGTGGAGGGAAAAGTTGAGATTTCACATTTTTCTTAGGTATTGGCGCCATTTTTTTTCCAGTTCACTGATTAGTCCTTGAGGTTTTATTATGCACTTGGGGAAGACAACCACCTTGACCTAAGATTTACATGTGTAATTCCATTAGTGAACATGCAGGCTATCCTTGCAAACTTGCTAACATTGAGATATAAATATATATTCCCTATCTCTGGGTCTCTGAGTTATTGCTGATACTTGCCGTGCAACATTAGCTCCATGAAATATCTTCTATTTTACTGTGGCTGGAAATATCAATGAATGTTAGCAGCGTAAAAATTCCACAGGGAGAAAGATCCCACACGTGAACTTTAATTACACCACAGATGCCATCTCGTGCAGTAACTGGCCATTAAAATAACCTGTGTTTTTCTCATGTGTACCACCCTGTTATTTGCTGGATCTCCCAAAACAGCCTTTGAGTCTTCTGGAAAATAAACAGCCCATCCTTGCAGATGGTCCCTCAGGAAAAAATGACAGCAATGAAAATGCATGTGAAAGTGTATATAAAGAACATGATGCTGATTAGCACCTCACAAATGTTTTGTCTTTTACAGCCTGTCAACCAGGGTCGTCATTATCAGCAAGAAATGAATCCACCTTCTCCTTCTAATCCCCGGTAAGAATCATTAATAAGCTAAGTGTCCTTTAAAAAAATGTATTTAAAAGATTGTGTGGGGTGCCTGCGTGGCTCAGTCGGCTGGGCATCTGGCTTCAGCTCAGGTCACGATCTCACAGCTCATGGGTTCAAGCCTCGCATCAGGCTCTATGCCGACATGTCAGACAGAGCCTGGAGCCTGCTTCGAATTCTGGGTCTCCCGCTCTCTCTGCCCCTCCCCTGCTCTCTCTCTCTCTCGCCGTCTCTCAAAAATAAACACTAAAAAATTAAAAAAAAAAAAAAAGATTGTGCATTTTTCTTGGTTTCACAAAATTGTTGTCCAAAACTTTCCAAGAACTTCCAAATTTCTTTTTCTTAGGAGTCCTAGTTTAATCTACTTTTCTTATTTAGAATGTGGTGAGGTGGTCAACAGTCTACCTGTGTTTAAATGCACCTCTGCCCTTTACTAGTTGGAGGACTTTTGAGCACGCCATTTAACTCAAGGTCAGCCAAGCCTAATAATTACCCCATACTCTTTTGGGGTAATCATATGAACGAACACATGATAATTTCATAGCATACTTTTTGGCATGCAGTGAGCTCTCTTTAAGTGTTAATCTATTCCATAGTATTCTGTTTGCATAGATACTTCATTTTAATCGGTATGTAACGTTTAGTACATTTTAGGCATGAATTTTTTTTGTATTATCTGGTCCCTTTAAATTTATCAAGATAGCTTATATCAGTTCAAATGCCATTCTCTTGCCTTCATATTTCAAAAGCTAATAACCTCAAAATTATTTCCTTACTTCAAAATGTCATTGGCCATTATGAGTAATGTCAATATAGAAAAACCTCATTCTTGGGGCACCTGGGTAGCTCAGTCAGTTGAGCGTCTGACTCTTGAGCTTGGCTTAGGTCATTATCTCATGGTTCGTGGGATCAAGTCCTGCATCAGGCTCTGCTCTGACAGTGTTGAGCCTACTTGGTGTCTTCTCTGTCTCCCTCTCTCTGCCCCTCTTCCCCGCTCATGCTCACATGCATGCATCTTTCTCTCTCTGTTTCTCAAACTAAACTTTTAAAAAAAAGAAAAACCTATTATTTTAGGCTTACTAAAGACAAGCAAATCTGGATTTGTGTTATGAAATATATGTAATATTAAATGATTTTCTAAAAGATAAATTAGTTTATCAGTACAAATTCATATCACTTTATCGCTATTTATTAAATACTAGGGGTTTATGGAAAATCAGTCTATCTCGAGCTCTACCCACAGGATCTTCGTTATTATAATGCATCTCATTATCAGGCCCTCTCACCTATACTCTGAGAGGTCCCATTCCCATAGAGTGGATCAGAACACCAGTGATAGTATTGTAGCTCTGGCCCTTAAGTATATTTATTACAGAGTATCTGAATTAAGACTCATTAGTTGAATATATCAAAAACAACTTAGCTAATATTAAAAGAGAGACAGAGAGACAGACAGAGAGAGAGGGAAGATTTGTTAAGTAAGAATACAGGGCTCAGGAAGGGTATGGGACTGGAACACTGCAAGGCAACCGGGCACTTCCTCACTCCGTCTCTGCTTGCTTCTTCCGTCTGTTCCGTTCTGGTCTCTAAGCACCGGCTTTCTGTTTCCAGTCACACAGGGCTGTCTGATGGCTCTTGCATTTATGTATTACAGTTCAAAGTACATGCCCAGCCTGATAGGCTATGTCTGAATCCCAATTCCTACTTTCCAGGAGAGAGAATGTGATGGGCCAAGCTTGGGCCAAGTATCCACTATTGGCCCAATCAGCACTGCACAGCCAACCAAGCCACGTAGAACTGCCAGGAGACCACCTACATGGTTTACAGGACGTTTTATGGGGCCCAGAATATTATGACATAGACAGAGTAAATGTTCCTTATTAGTAATCACTTCTAAGTGTTCCTGGTCTATACACATGATCTGATCACTCGCTCATGTTATTTAGTAGGGGGAACTGCCACTATCATAAGTAGATACAATATGGAGTTCAAAATTGAGGCTGTAATTTCAGTCTATATAAAAATATGTTTTAATATTCTGAAAATCCGTTGTCTCTTCACATGTAAAATATGTCTCTTACATAAACTTTTTATCTGTATATGAGTACACTTTTAAGGTAACTGGAAATCCAATGTCGATCCAAATTATAACTAGTCAGGATTTATAATATGAACAAATGAAAGTGAGAATAAGGTATGTTAGAAAGTAGAGCCTTTTGTTTCCATAAAAGGGGACAGAAGACCTAACTTTCATCCTAAATCTGCTATTAACCGAGTATATGATCTCAGACCAGCCTCTCAACCCGCTCAGATCTCACCAGTAATGTGAGCACATGTTTAAAAGAAAGGATTTGAGTTACATGCTCTCTCAGGTCACTTCCAGGTTCATGATTCTGAGACTTTGAGGAGACTCATTATAGATTTTATGTATGAAACCCAGTTCTACCATCAGAGGGAACACTGCCCTGTAGAGAAAACACACCTCATAATGTTGGATTAATTAATGTTTAGATGTAGTACTATACAACTTTAAGCATCTTTTTTAATATTTGATTCCCAAAGATACAGTATAGGAAAATTCACCAACCTAACATACAGCATATTTTATTTAGCCAATTAAATGTTCATTCATTTAGGGAAAATCAATTTACATTTTTACATAATAAAATAAAAAGCCAAAAGCCAAAGCAAAAAATAAAATGCTGCCAATCCCATTTGCCAGCAGATTATCCAACAGTTTTCTAGAAAATTATTGTTTAGTTGTTCAAAAAACTTGCAGATTATGTGGTTTAGCTCTTGGCTCCATAAATCCAGCAGCTTGAAAGAATTGGCAGAAAGACGTTATTGGACCATAAATAAAGACGATGGTAAAATTATGAGGTCAGCACAGATCATCATATAAAAATGGGATAAATTGAATCATGTAATGCATATAATTTAACTTAAAATAGAACGCTATGTTCCTTTTAAGGTTTGCATTTATTACAAGTCTTACAAATAGATCTCACACCTAGACCCTAAAACCCAAAACTTTAAAATTAAACTTTAAATTTAAAAGATACTGATAATGAATATGAAACAAAAAATATAAGAAATGAAATCTAAGATAAGTTTCCAAGTCTGCCCCTTGGATAAACAAGCATCTATCCTGCATCCCAGATTGAAAGTTCTGCCTGCAGAGGCTCTAAACAACACACGAGAGGCAAGTAGGCTCTTGATTTCCTGAATTGTGTGGTTGTGATCAGAGTAATGCAGACATGATGGGGAAGGGGACATGTATGGATGCGGGTCCATTGAGAGAGCGTCCGGGTGCCCTGTGGGAGGGGAAGTGGCCACACTAGCGTCAGTGACCTATCTGCAACTACTCCAGAAACCCAAGAACCTTAGATTTGTACCCACACCCATTCTCATACCCATACTCATACCCACACACACATATATATTGAGAGTCAGTTTTCAATTAGCTTAATTAATGTAACAGAACAACCAGTATCTCCAAAGTCTTTCATTTACATTTTGCTGTGGGAAGTCTTGTCTCTGCAACATAATTACCTTCTTAGTTTGATGTGCTTACGATTAAGGTTAAAGATAGCATGCAGTCCACAAAGCAGACAAATTTGGGTTTTGGAGAGTTGATTCTAGGATGCCAGTAGCCAAAATACTACATATATTCATAGAGTGTGTTCCTCGGAGTATAAGAATCTACCTGCGCTTACAGGGCAATGCTTGACATCGGACAGAGTGGGGATACAATGGCAATCATTTCCCGAGAATTTCACAGTCTAGGAATTGAAATACACATGGTTCACCCCATCCTATCCCTTGTGTCTAGATTTGCCTGAAGGCAGCTTCTCAGATTCTGGGGCCCTGTTCCCCAATGTCCACCCACACTGCCGCTTGGGACACTGACAGCCTCTATGACAAGGTGCAGAAATGGCTAACATAATCTAATACAATTTAGAGGCGTATTGGGTGGGAGGAAACAATTTTACCATTCATTCATGTTGAGAAATGTTTCCTAGCATGTAAACTTACATGCTGCCAAACGGATGCTGTTTGCAGCCTTAGGTCATTTATTGTAAAATGCCATCTCTTGGTTTGTGGGGTTTAGAGCTGTCCCCTAGGCACATCCATTTATGTGTTTATGTAGATTCTTCAGAACAGCTCAAGATATTTTTGTTCAGAAATGGGTTTTATAAAATAAGCTGTGATTACATTCTGGTTGTCTGTTCATGTGGATGGAGTCAATAACCAGTCTTTTATTTCAAATGATGATTATACTTGGTATGTTTACAACTCATTGGAAAATTAGGAGGAGGAGGTAAGGTAGTCAAAGGCTCTGTAAGGTTCTCAATGTTTATAGAAATAAACAGTTTAGAAAATAATTTCTGAATGCCCAAACAGTAATGAATGGCATGGTTTTCTGAAGTATTTGCTTTATGATTTATTGCCTATCTGTAGTTTTGTTGTTTTTTTTTTAATGTCACTGCCAATTCTGCTAAGGCTTGAATCCTTTGCAGCTTTACCACATGTTTGTGTGATATAAACATACTTATAACTATAATTAGATGATAAAGCTCTGTGGACTTTGACAAATGATTAATAACCACTGACCGCAGTTCACACTGGTGCAGCAAGCCTGACTGAGGCAAGCTGGCCTGTCATCGTAACCTACAAGTACTGCTCTGGACTGATCGCAGTGGCTTCATTTTTCTTTTCTCTCCAATTGTCAGGGCCCAAGCCTGATATGCTGTCCTGTTGCTTAAGCCTTTTTCCCCCACCAACACAAAAGAGAGAAAATGAATAAATGAAAAAAAAAGAGAAAAGAATAAATAAAATTAAATACGGAATTGCAGGCCATGTGTCTCCTCAAATGATTAAGTTTGGATCATTTTAAAACAAGTAAGTCAGATTTTTGGCAAACATTCCTCCTTCAGACCAAAGAGCCATGAAGGATTTCCTGATTACTATGCAAAAGGTTTCTCTAA